TTTTTTTTTTTTTTTTGAGTGATTTACATACCGATTCTAAAATTTGTGGTAAAATACGAAATACTCTACTTATAGGTAGAAATTATAAAGAAGGTCAGTCAAATCATCTTGTTTTATTTTTTTCAAAATTGCCCATCGGTCAATCCAAAATTTAATTGATCGAGGGAAAATTTTGAAAAAAGTGAGTTTATAGGATCATTTTGTATTTTATCTAAAATTTTAGGGTCTCTACATAGATCACTCTTTTTTTTTCTTTTTTTTTTTTTTTTGTTTACAAGAATATGATGCTCTCTCTTTCTTTCCAAGTAATGACTCCTCTCTCTCTCTCTCTCTTTCTAAATGAATCCATAGGGAAGCTTAACCACTTTGTTCAATCTCCCTCTTTTTCTCTCTAAATCAATCCATAGAGGAGCTTATGGTAATACTAATTTCACAAGTACCAACAACTAGAAAATCTTCATTATCATACAAAGACCTTTAGTCATTTCAACCTCTACTTCTCTGGTAAGCAATGTTTTTTTCGGTTTGGTGATAAAAGCGACGCAATTTGTTGATTTTACCAATTTGAGGAAGATTTTGGACTTTTTTTTAAAAAAAAATTAATAGAAATAAATTAATTTATATATAAAAATATAATAAATAAAAATTAAAAATTAAAATAAAGACAACATATTTTTATATAAATATTTTTTTGCTTTGACAGAAACTGATCGAAGCTAACTGAAGCAGCCCGAAGTGGCAACATCAAACTTTGTTTCACTTCGGTCTACGCCTAAAATCCAAAATCGGCCGAAACGAAACAAATCTGACAACAGCACTTCGAAGGTTTGAGTCTATAACAAGCTCTATCACATGAACTTGTGTGAGAAAGATTATAGTTTTGGGTGTGGTTTCATAAGGTTGCAATCTTAAACAATACATTTAAGGTGCACATTCAAATTTTATCATAACACATAATTTTTATGTAAAATATTTTTAAAGTTTATCTTAAAATCTATTTTCAACTCTAATTATAAAATTTTAAACTCGAAAAATGATTAAAATCAAGTAGATCTATAAACAAATGAAAATCTTGAGAATGGACGGTCTAGATATTGTGTTGTAAGATGCATCATTTTTGAGACTCAAAATCCTTTTTTCTTTCATAGTCATACTTCTCGATGTCGAGATGATCAATTAGAGGGTTTTTCAACATTAAAACTATCTTTAACGATGGATTTTTGAGGTGCATTCTTAGTTCTAAATTTTAAAGTTGCAACCTTATATAAACTTTTCTCTATAGTTTTACCTGCTCTCTCTCCTAAAAAAATAGCAAATGTGTTTTGTTCTTCCGAGTGAACGACTTTGCTAGAATTTAAGAGAAGAGAAAAAAAAGCAAATGCCCTTCACGTGGGATTTGGGCCTTTTACTCCTATTTTGAGAGGGAAAATTATTTCATGCAAGCTGGATCATATTTCTACATATGCGGTCGAGAAACTGTAAAGCATTCCTCTTAAAGATAGATACAAGTAAGTCTTCCCTCTGAAACACCATAGAAACTAACGGTCCAAATATTTTTTATTATAATGTTTATTTTTATTTTTTAAAATTTATTTATTTTAACTAACGGTTCAAATGTTTTTTATTATAATTATTATTTTTATTTTTTAATATTTATTTATTTTTTCATATTCAGGATCTCTATGTTAAAAATTACACGTCCTTAAAAATTAAGTCTTAAAATCCATTTCGAAAATAAATTTATTAAGAGACCCGCGTTTGGGCTCGGCCACATAGAAACCCGATGCCGTTGATAACAGCCAGTTGCAATAAGAATCCAAGGAAGAAGATTCAATGTCCTTTTATCGTTTAATTACGGCTACGGTTCGTATAGAGCCGATGCTCTAAACCAGTGTTTAAAAAAACGCCGAGTCGAACCGAACTCGCCCGGTTCGACTCGGGAATCGCCATGGACGGATCGAATCGGTGAAAAAAACGGGAATCGTCCGGTTCTAGAGAGAACCGGACGATTCTGCACAGTGACTCGCCGATTCACTGTACAGAATCGGCGAGTCCCGTATGGAATTATTTTATTTTTTATTTTATTTTTTATTTTTTTTTATTTTTTTTATTTTTTTTTTATTTTTATTTTTTT